TGCGACGTGTACTCAAAGTACTGCCAAGGGAGAGCAGAGAGGGGTGTCACGCCGATGTCACCCCGAGCATGGGGCCAGCCAGGCTCCCTGCTTGAATTTCCATGCCCCAATGAAAAAATTGGGAAAAAAACCCACGAGGGAAAGTAGTAACTGATGGAAATTGCCACAGACAAAAGTGCTGTTCGAGTTCTGAGCAGCAACGTGAGGTGCCTACCTGGTTGCCTCCCATCCCATGGCACGGGTACATGATGAGGGGTTTCCCACCGTGGTTGTTTTCCCCGACATCCAGGCAGCTTTTTGTCCCCTCGTTTTTTATCTGTGGGAAAGCGTGGGGAGCAGAGAGCTCAGGTCCGGGTCCCTTTTGCTCAGGGCTTGTCACCTGCTTGGGCGGGGACCAGAGTTGTGTTCTGGGTTCACAGGGTGTCTAAATATCACTGTGCAAACACGTTCCTTGCACCCAGCCCTGGGTCCGGGTCTCTCGGCGTTTCCAGGATGTGAACGACGCCTCTGCCAGCACCTCCCCGTCACACCAGGTGCCTTCCTGCAGCTCGTGCCATTTATTTATGCCTAAGGTTGAGCTGCTTGGCCAAAGTTTCGGGAAAAAGAGCTGCATTAAGAGCTGGACTGGAGCCAGCGTGTGGCTTTACCGAAGCGTCTAAATGCGTTTTGCATCTCTGCAAACTGGTTTCACAACATTGCCACGGCGGAGAAGGGCTGATCGGCTGTCGCGGGGGAGCTCGGATCCGAACCCGAGCTCCTCGGCCCGGCTCCGCACATGATCTTGGGCAAATCCCTGCCCTTTGGGGCTTACGGAGCTACGCAGGAGCTGAAGATGCATCGATGCCAATGCCAAGTATCCCTGCAGCATCCAGCTCATCCCCCTCTGCCTGGTCCTCCTGCACAGCAAGATTCCAGCTGGTAGATTTTTAAGTTTCGCCTTGCACAGGCTAAAAGCCAGAGACGGTGGCATTAAGGCCACTCGAACTCTCCCGGAAATTTGCTTATTTTGCCAATTTTAGCCTAGCGTGACATCCCCTCAGGGCCCCTGCAACTCGCCCCAAACCAGCTCTGCCGGATTCCAGCGCTCGGCCTTGCCTTGTGCTGTCAGACAGAGCCCGAAGAGCCTCATCAGCTGGTGAAAGATGCCACTCACCAGCAGCCCAGGTGAACTGGAAAGGCAGGATCTCTCCCACCACACTCCTCTTTGCTGGTTTAAGGCCAGAAGCAAAGCCCAGTCTCCTGGAGACCTCACTGCCACGGCTTATTTCTAGAGCAGGACTAAGCCCAAGGGGTTGGCAGAGCAAGCTGTGGTCTCCCACATACTTACTGCTCCATAAAAAGTTGGAGTCAAGTCCGGGATGAACATCTCTGGATAGATGGTTTCTAGGTACCAGGTGAAGTTCTTGCAGTGTAGCTTCTCCCTCAGCCTGCGCCGTTCTGTAATGTCACCATACGTTTTCTATCAACAAAGTCATGTGAGAAAATTAAACTAATCTCCAAAGCGAGCAACAAAACCCAGAGCCAGGGCTCAGCAAACAGCCCCTCCCAGCTTCACCATCCACCCCCTGCTTAAGATCAAGCTCGTGCCTTAGTACAGCTAGGACCAAGGCAGATATTAAGAGTCTTGCAAGACAATGTCTGGCCCGTGCAGGCAACCTCAGACTCTGTTCCTTGCAAAGAGAGCTGGAATATTTTGTTGCCAAAGCAAAGCAAATTCATACCCCTTCACAATGCTTGGATGGTGTGGGAAATCTGTATTTTCCTACCAGGAAATGTTAAGGCAACATTAGGATGTACACATACACACGTGTATATTTGGCAATATCTTTCCACCTGCACTCGCCAGCCCCCTGCGAGCTAAACCTGCTGAGAGTTTTTGCTTTCTGCTCCGGATCTGGGGTCCCTGCAGGATTGCAGCCTTTGGGCCAGGATCCCAGGATGTTCCATGTTGTGGAGCACACCCTGGCGCTGCCATTCACCAAGGAAAAGCTGCCCACACCCTGGGGAAGGGCGAGGTACCTCTCTGGCCATCTGCGAGGCCTGCTGGTTCCTCCTGTAGAAGATCTCCTTGTAGTCGTCCATCCAGACCTCGGCCAAGCGCACCTGGTTCCTGGAAATCACCTGCGTCCCTTTGGGGAAGGTGTGGGGGCTCTTGGAGCGGAAGACGTGGCCGACGACGGAGCAGGGGATGATCTCGAGCTGGCCGCCGCACTGCCACACCTGCGGGGAGCGATTCCCGGGATTTTGGCTCCATTGATCCCACCTGGAGCTCGGGGACATCAGCGCCCCTTTAATCGCACCCAGAGCTCCCAAATAAGGGATTTTCCTGAAGTTTTATTTATTTATTTATTTTCAATGAAGCTTTGCTCTTACCCTGAAGGACATTTCCACATTCTCTCCTCCCCAGATCTCCATCTGATCGTCGTAAGAGCCGATATACTCAAAGTAGGACCTGGAAATTGCGAAGAGGCCCCCGGCAAAGGTTGGCGACCTAGGAAGAGACGGAAGCAGAGGCTAAAGAGAGGATGCCGGGAGCTCTGTGAACTTCATATGTCAGCAGCCACATCCTCTATTTCCACCACAGACAGCCCTGCTGCCCCAGGCTTTGTTGGAGAGGATGCTGCAAGGACAGAGACGCTCAGAAGTCACCAAATGTGGCCACGAGGGGACAGAGAAGTCAAAGAAATCTACAGCAGGCACCAAGCTGCCAAGGGGCCTCCTGGCTGCTCCTCAATCAGGAGAGAGAAACTTGGATATTATTACTGAAAACCTAGAGCAGAAGAGAAAGGCAGAGATTAGCTCAGTGACTGGGCAGCCTATTCACTCCTCTTGCTTTTATAATCTGTTCCATCTGATCTTTGGAAGAGGAAGGCTGGAACAGAAACTTGCTTTTATTCAAGGAAAAGAAAAAAGGACTCACTGAGCTGCTGTGTTCCTGCCGAGAGAGATTAGATGCTGTTTGGAGCCAAACTAGCAGCCTTTGGGGAAAAAAAGGGACCTTTATGGGGACAGAAACATCTCCTGGCCGACCTTTCCACAAAGGAGAGCTGTGCTCCGGGCCAAAAGCCAGGATGTGGAAAGGGCCAAACACCGTGCTGGGTTTCTCCCTTTGGGAGCCCGAGGTTGCTGGGTTTATCAAGGGGCAATGGTCACCCACAGCAGCCGGCTCTGACAGGGGCAGAGGGAAAACCCTGTTCCCTCGAGTACCAGGAGGAAGGTGCCAAGATGCCAAGAGGCAGGAGGCTACGCGGAGCTTCTCCAAAGCATCTCCTGGCACTTGCCAGCTGCTGCCAGCCTGCGCAGTGCATTCGATGCAATGTCTTCGTGGAAGCACCGAGGGCTCTTGGCTGATGCCATCGTCTTGGGCAAAGCTCTCCTGGAAAGGGAGCGCTCTGCCCGCCCGGCTCCACACCAGCAACTCAAACCAGCTGGAAGGAGCAAGGCTACAAAGCTGCTGCTGGCAGGAAAAAACCAACGTAGCAGGGAAAACACAGCTTGAAAAGGAGCAAAAGTGACTTAAAACTGGCCCACGGAGCTCATCCAGCACCTTCTAACAGCGCTCCCAGCTGCCAAGGGGACACCAGGGCTCTTCGCTCTGGCGATGGCACAGACATTGTGCCAAAGGGGACATCGACGCTGCCTCAAACACTCACTTGATGGGGAAGGTCTCGTCCTTCCTCCGCTGCTTCTCCCGGGCCGGGATGGCCTCCCAGCCGAACGTGAGGCTCCAGTCGAAGTTGCCCCGGCTGTGCTGCTTGCCGTACTGCACGGGCCGGGAGAACTCGAAGGTGTTGAGGTCGATGGTGGTGATGTCGGGGCTCACCACCGCCGTGGGCTCCTCAGCGATGCGGGACAGCAGGGGCTCCAGCCACCCGTGGAAGCACTCGCCTGCGGGCACGGGGATGGGTTGCACACACGGGAGCCACGTGAGGAATTGCAGCCTTTGCCCCTCGCCCCAGGGTGCCCGGCGGAGCGCTCAGCGAGCTCTCCCATGCTGGGAAGCCTGGGATGGCCTCCGTGGGTTGTCTCATGGAATGCTGAAGGTTGGAAGGGGGCTCTAGATGTCACCTAGTCCAACCCCCTGCACACGCAGGGTCACCTAGAGCACGTGGCACAGGGTGGCATCCAGGCGGGTTTTTGGAAGATCTCCGGAAAAGGAGACTCCACAACCTCTCTGGGCAGCCTGTTCTCACTCCTGTGAGCGCTCGGCCACGTGCAGGGGGAGGCCTCCGGCTGCTGGCTCCGCATTCCCGAATCCCCAGGCCTGATCCCGCTCGCGCGGGAGGGCAGTACTCACAGTGCGCGTCCAGGAAGGTGAGCACCTCCCCGCTCGCCGCGCTGGCCCCGAGCAGCCGCGCCGTGATCAGCCCCTTCCTCTCCTTCTGCCGCACGACCCTCACGATCTGCAGCTGCTTCACGTAGCGATCCAGCTCGTCCTTCAGGTAGTCTGGGAACGACACGGGAAGGGGGTTCAGGGAAGGGAGAGGAGCAACAGGAGCAGCACGAAGCCCTCGACCACCCGGCTCCTCCATCCTCCTCGTGCACCGGGGTCTGCGGCCACACACGGGAAAGGAAGGGCCAAGCACCCCCAGCTCCGACCAGGAGAAACGCTCCCTCGCTGCTGGTTTATATATATTGCACATGGAATATTCCTACTTCTAGTAACTTTTAAACAAATCATAGGGGAACCCCGTGCCAGGTCCTCCAGGCAGCCTCCCCTTGCAGGGAGGAAGCGGTGCCAGCAGATAGACGATAAACCCTCGGAAACACTGGATTTACCTGGATTAACCTGCTTGCTCTGTAAAGCTGAGAATCAAGGCACTTCCCCAGGCCTGCTGGCTCCCCCCGGCTGCACATCTGGCCTGGGCAGAGCTTCCCGTTCCCCCACGCATGAAAGGGGTTTTTAATTGCTAAAAGAGAAGCTTGGGGCTTGGAAACGACCCCATGGAGCCTTTTGGTGGCTCTAATCCCTCCCGCCCGCTCCGCATCAAAGAGAGATTAGCCGGGATTAGAGGAACGATGGGGTGAAAAAGCCTCTTGACCTGTGGCTAAAACTTCACCAACCAAGCGGATGAGGGGTCACCAAGGGAGAGAAGGGGCAAATTTAAGACCTGGCAGCGCAGAGAAGAGGGAATTAGAGCACCTTTCCTCTCTATCAGATGCTCCTAAACCGAAAAGCCAGGAAGGGAAAGGCCAAAACGAAGAGGAACAGGCTGGAAAATCCAGAAACCAAGTGCTGGAGACGCACGTCTCAGTCAGAGGCCTGAAGTCCTGCCTGTTTCCAGCACTGCCCCAACCAAGCAGCTTTGGCTGTGGCCTTAGAGGACGGCTCGTGCTTTAATGAAAAGAGATACTCTATAGGAAAGAAAAGCCACCATGTGAGAAAGGACCAAACTGCCCTTCCTGGGGTACCCGGCTTCCAAAGGGACATCCCATCTTCCAGGCATGGCCGTGCCGAGCGGGCACAGAGCCGAGAGGGGCGACGGCTCCTTCCCTTTGAGGCCAGAAAGAGAGAGGCTGCCAGGGCCGCCCTCCTGCTCCATCCCTCGTTCCCGCTCCGTCTCTGCCTCCTTTCTGCTCCAGCTGCAGCTGGAAACCTCTCCGTAACCGTAACCGCTGCCACCCGCCGGCACGGGGAACTGGGACAGGCAGAGCCAGCACTTGACCATGGCTTGGTGACCCATTTAAAGGGAGAAAGGGAAAAAAAAGAAGTGAAGCGTATTCAGCACTGGAATAATGCAAGGCAAAACCCCCGGCTGCCGGGGGACCGAGGGTCCGTCCCTCCTCCCCTCCTTGGCTGCCACAAAGCGGTGGCACAATAAGGGTCTCTGAACCGCCGCGGAGCCGCCCAGTGTCACAGCAAAGCCACACACAGGGGACGTGTCTGCAGGGGCCGAGGCGGCCGCGCTCTTTCAGAAGGGCTCGTTGTTAGGGGGGGAAATAGGAGCCGCTTCTGCGAAAAGCGGGGGGGAGTCTTCGCCACGAGAGCTCAGCTCGGCGCCAGGTCTGCCCTGGGAAGCAGCCTGGGGACTTTGTGGCCACAACTGCGGGTTGCAGGTGGCCTGCCCCCAAAGGACACCCATCTGCCACCAGCTGGGGACAGACACTTCCCTCTTGCATGCACGAAAGTTTTTGGCATCCCCCAGACCTCTGCTGCTGCAGGGTTTAGGGACAGGGCGAGAGTAGAAAGGATCTTCCCCAACGCCCGGCTCCAGGCGGCCCTGACATTGAACCATGTCATTAGCTTAGCGTCGCTGGCGCTAATTTGGATGGCCAAATTGCAGTGTAGCAGACGAGCGGGTCACTTCCCGAGGTGGAGAGCGTAGGTGCTCTGTGCACAGCACGAGGGAGCTGCAGGTTAAAACAACACGCAACGGAAAACAAAACCGGAGCGTGCGCAGGGAACGGATTCCGGGATTCCGGAGCGTCGCCCGCGGCGCGGCCGCGCTCACCGTCGGTGCTGGCGTCGTCCACCAGGATGATCTCGCGCAGCAGCACGGCGGGCGACGCGTGCAGGACGCTGTACACCGTGCGCAGCAGCGTGGACCAGGCCTCGTTGTGGAACACGATGACGACGCTGGTGGTGGGCAGCGGCGGGCAGCGCTTGAACTTCTGGTCGATGCACCTGCCAGAGGGGAAGAAAGAGTGAGTTTGGGCAAAGCGTGGGCGCGGATGGGGCTGAAACCTCCATCCAGAGCCCGTGCTGGATCCTGGATCCCCGTGTCGGGCTGGTTTTCCCTATACAGGGCACTCTTATCACTCTTATTAACAGGGGGAGTCGCACGGGCCAGACCCGTGGGTGCCCGGGCCAAGCCGAGCTCCGCACATCAAAAGGGGCAGCGTTCCGCGCGGCGGCCGCGCCATCGCCGCCCTCGCTTTCATTTACGCCGGTTTATCCCTCGGCCCCCCTCTCGGCCCGCTGAATGACATTCCTGCCCCTGCCTCGCTTCCCGGCCCCGGTGTCCCTCCTTTGTCCCAGCTACCCCTGCTAGGCACGGATAATTGCCTGCCGGCGCAGGGGGGGCGGCCGCGACGCGGGGGCCGCGTTTCTAGCTCCTATTCAAGCCTTTTTTTCCTCGCCGGGAGCCCCCTCCAAAGCCTCCCGGCCCGGCAGGGGTTGGGGCCACGCTCTAATCTCACAGCCCATCACCGGAGGCCGCGGGGAAGGTGATGAAATCTCTCAAGTTTGGGCCGCTTCCTTCCCCCCATGCCGCTTACCCCAGTCTCAAGCTGTTCCACTCGGCTAAGAAAATAAAAAGTAAGATTACGGCCGAGGGGCTGGAATAAAAGAGGGAGGGAAGCAGGGGGGCTGCCCGGATGCCGCGGGGCCTGCGGCAGGTAGGCGCAGACGTGCGGAGCCCTGCACGGTTTGGCGTGCGGGGACCGCAACCGAGCACAGGGAGATGGAAAAATGGAATCTGAGAGGTGGAAAAGGGAGTCTGGGAGCCAGGGGGAAAGAAGGAGGAAAAGGGCTATTGCCCTGTGCACGCCAGGCTCCGGGGCAGGGGGTGTGCAGAGCCCCAGATCAGTGGTTCCTTCCTTAGAGTGTGGTCACCACCGAGGTGGCCCTCCTGCCGCCTGTCCCCGGGTGAAAAACAGCAGTTTTCTCTTCTCTGGGGGTTTTAATTAGGCCCTGGGTCCTCTTGGGCTGCCCTGCGAGCCCTCAGCTCCAGCCCTGCCTGCCCCACGGTCCGCCCGGCGATAACATGCAAAGCACAACGGGCGCCAAGGCAGAGAGCCGGCCAGGGCTGAGCTTCCCCCGCGCCGCTCGGAGCCGGGGGAAAATCCCGCGGGCGCCGCGAGGCCCCGTTTTCACCTGCCCTTCGGCCCCAAGGGAGCGAAGCCCGCGCACGTGCGCGCCCCGGAGCTGCCCGCGACGCCCAGCCCGCGTCCCCTGCCCGCCAAGAGGCTCCTCTTACTCCGGCGGGCGGCTGTCGGGGCCCAGCGCTCGCTGCAGGGAGATGCGGTCGCTGGCGAAGGCGTTGAAGCAGTGCTTCTCGTAGCCGCGCTCCTTCTCCTTGCTCTCCTCCGGGCTCCACTGCTCCTTCTTGAAGGCTTTGCCGTCGGCACCGGGGCTGTTCGGGTCCTGGGGCGGCCGCTCCATGAGCGGCCTCAGCTCCGCCGCCGTGTAGTAGCCCGGGAGGCAGGACCTGGCACTTTGCGGAGCCTCTTGCTGAGCCGGAGGCCGGATCTGAAGCTTCGGCATCGAGTCCCGGAGGTTGTTCACTGCCCCCATCATCAGGTCGATGACTTGATCCTTCCCGTTGACGATGTTTTTGAGCCAGGGCTCCTCGCTCGAGTCTCTGTTCCCGACGTCCTTCTGCATGATGAAGAGGCAGATGACAAAAACGACCCCAACCAGGGCCACCTTCAGCGGGCTGTAGCGTCTCCGCAGGAGCTTCATGTTGGCCATGGCTCTCGGAGCGCCCGTAGATCAGGTCCACACGCAGCTCAGGGCCGTGGGATGTCGCAGCTCCTCGTGGTCATCTCCTCTGCCTTCCTAACCTGGGAGGAAGGGAAACACACTCAAGGTTAATTCAAGAATTGGCCATGCAGAGAATGGAATCACCAGGATTTATTTGGGTACAAGACAGATCTCGCTCCATGCACAGGAATGAACAGGAATTGTCAGTCTGGCAGCATTTTCCTCCCCAAAAGCTGCAATACCACGAGCTCCAGACCACAGGGACGTCCTGGAGTCCCCTCCCAAGCAGCGCTGCCCTCTCGCAGCCCCTCAAACCTGCGAGTCCGCACCGAAAAAGAGAAGAAAAACCCCAAAATCAGCAAGGTTTGATGCCGCGAGACGTTCAGGGGCTGCAGAGCAGCAGAGCAAGTCGCCTTCAGCACTTCCACGTCCAGTCCTGCAACCGAAACACCCACCCTGGCCACCCCCTCCCCAAACCGCGTGCGCATAATGAAACTGGAGGAG